TATTTGTTGTTTACAACAAAGATAAATTCAAATTAAATTCTGATGTCTATAACATGAATACTAGACAAAAATATAACTTCCACCTACCCTCATCAACTTTATCAGTATATCAAAAAGGAGTCTACTTTACTGGCATAAAAGTGTTCAACAATCTGCCACAAATAAGATCTAAAAGTTTGTGATGATGGTAAATTGTTACAATTATTATTTTGCTGGACATTATCCATCATCTTGTCTATTCTAAAAAAACAGACTAGTTTCTATTAAAAAACACAACGTTTCGAGAACTGGAATCTGTCCCCATCTTCAGGTAAAACCTACTCAGTTGGGTCCAATAGACAGAGCTAGCCCCTATCTCTCTGTTTTTTTAGAATAGACAAGATGATGGATAATGTCCAGCAAAATAATAATTGTAATCTGCCACAAAGTATTAAAAACTTGGGCAATGATACTAAAAAGTTTAAGTCAGAGTTAAAGAATTATCTACATGCTCATTCCTTCTACTCTTTAGATGAATACTTCAATGTAAATAGAGAATGATGTAAAATTAAGTTATATTAATTTTTAAGCTAAAATTTCCTGTACTTATGTATGTAACCTTTTGACTTGTTCTGTATCCAAAGGTACTAACCTGCTTAGGATTTATAGAATGTAAATAAATTCAATTCAATTCAACTACAACTCCCAGTTACTGAATGTACATAGGGTCAGTGATTACTTCCATTTGACATATGGAAAAATTGCCTGATCAGTGGAAGGAGCCTATTATTATACCAGTTCACAATAAGGGTGATAAAACTGACTGTAGTAATTATCATGGGATATTGCTGTTATCAACTTCATACAAAATTGTATCCAATATTCTTCTCTCAAGGTTAAGTTGATACATAGATGAAATTATTGGGAAACATCAGTGTGGGTTTTGACATAACAGATCAACTACAGATTGGATTTTTTGCATTTGTCAGATATTGGAGAAAAAATGGGAGTACGATGAGACAGTACATCAGCTTTTCATAGACTTCAAGAAAGCCTATGATTCAGTTAGGAGGTAAGTATTGTACAATATCCTGATAAGAGTTTGGGATACCCATGAAACTAGTTCGGTTGATTAAAATGTGTTTAAATGAAACATATAGTAAAGTACATGTAGGTAAACATTTGTCTGAAAATTTCCTGTCCAGAATGGTCTAAAACAAGGAGATGCTTTATCGCCACTCTTTTTCAACTTTGCTTTAGAATATGCCATTAGGAAGATCCAGGGAAACAAAGTGGAATTGAAATTAAACAGAACACATCAGCTGTTGGCCTATGCTGATGATGTCAATCTACTGGGTGATAATGTAGATACCATAAAAAAACACATAAACTTTAATTGACACTAGTAAGGAGGTTGGTCTACAAGTCTAGAAGTAAACACAGAGAAAACCAAGTATATGTTGCTGTCTCATCACCAAAATGCAGGACAAATTCATGACATAAAGATAGGAAACAGGTGTTTTGAAAATGTGGAACAGTTCAGATATTTGGGAGTGACAACAACAAATCAAAACCTGATTCAGGAGGAAATTAGGAGCAGACTGAACTCAGGTAATGCTTGCTACCATTCAGCCCAGAACCTTTTGTCTTCTCGTCTGCTGTCAAAAACATAAAAATTAGAATATACAGAAGTATAATTTTGCCTGAGGTTCTGTATGAGTGTGAAACTTAGTCTCTGACATTAAGGGAGGAACACAGACTGAGGATGTTGAGAATATTTGGACTGAAGAGAGATGAAGTGACAGGTGGTTGTAGAAAACTGCATAATGAAGATCTTCATAACTTTTACTCTTCTCCAAGTATAATTAGAATGATCAAGTCAAGGAGGATGAGGTGGGCATGGCATGTAGCACGAACAGGGGACGAGGAATACATATAGGATATTGGTGGGAAAGCCAGAAGGAAAGAGACCACTGGGAAGAGCAAGGCGTAGGTGGGAAGACAATATTAAATTGGATCTTAGAGAGATGGGAGTGGATGGTGGGGATTGGATTGATCTGGCTCAGGATAGGGACCAGTGGGGGGCTCTTGTGAACAGGGTAATGAACCTTCGGGTTCCATAAAATGCTGAGAAATTCTTGAGTCGTTGCAGAATTGCGGCTCTTCAAGAAGGGTACAGCTCCATGAGTAAGTAAGTAAGTAATTCAGACGAATGTCATACTGTTAGAATTTACCAACCTACCGGAACCATTTGGTCCGATTACTGCTGTGAAAGACTTCAAAGGACCAATAGACACACTTCCTTTGTAGGACTTGAAGTTTTCAACTTCAATGGAAACTAACACTGCGGGCATTGTCGTTAAATTATAGTCTGCAATAAATGTGTCATAAACGAAAACAACAACCACAATATAAACGTCCCCGAGTTTATTACTCCCTGAACACAACCGCCATAATACAAACATATGAACACAATGATCCAAGCCCACTACATATAACCACTGAAGTATGCCCGCTTAGTAACATGCACGGATCGTCTGAACATCCACGGATCAATAACAAAACCACTCGTAATTCTGCATGAACAATACTTCCATTTCGGGCGAAAGGCCACCAAGGAATCTGGCAACCGCAATTTCCGAGACAAACCGGCGATTTCAAGCAGGTGACTGGTTTCCAGATTAGCAGGCAGAAACTGAGAAAACGTATACCTGATTAGTTGCTCATATCATCTTAAGCGATCTTACGTGGGTATGTTCGTATTGCATGATTGTATTTTTTAATCAACTGCACTTACCTTCTATAATGGAAGATAATAATGCTGATACTGTCATAATTAGGTTGTAGTTGAGATCGGTTGAGTCGGCGTGAGAAGAGTGGACGATGACCAAAAGTAAAATATTGTGATGTTAATAATTTTGTTTTAATTAAGATCAGTTTTCTTTAATCGGGAAATATCGCATTCACACGCGATACGAAATTTGAACATACAGTGCCTGGCAATTTGCGCAGCTCCACTCAGTAACCTATGTTCAACTAAGACTGATAACAATTCTCGGAAACTGAGGTTGCGTTGCGGTTGCCAATTTCCTTGATGTGCCCTTGCCCTAACATGTGTTCACATCAGGCTGTTAAAGATTTTCGTAAATTGCGGTTGCGTTGTGGTTGCCAAATTCCTTGGTATGCCCTCTCCTTTACAATCGGTTACAATGCAATGATAAGGGTCATTTTTAATCTATAAACACAATTTTTCTACACAGAAGGGCAATTTTAACATACAAGCCAACAACTTCTCTCACAATTATGTACAACAGGAAAACAATTAAAGTCCATGCAAATATTACGTTTCTGGACATAATCTATCGTCCTGTTTTTATTTAGAAACACAACGTTTCGGAGACTGGATTCTGTTTCCGTCTTCAAGTAAAACCTACTCAGTTGGGTCCAAAATAGCAAGACTAGTCCCTTTTTCCGTGCACCAGTACCAAAAATCATCTAGTTTTACAAGCCATCATAGCACAAACCATCTGCGAGAGCTAAGGGCCGAGCCATACAACTTGTTTCTTGTCCGGCTTACTCTTTAACCCTGAAGACGGAGTCGAACCTGCTGCCTGCTTAATGATAGCTCCTTGCTTTGCTTATTCTTCATCCCTGAAGATGTAGGCGACATATTCCTCCGAAACGTCGGTTGACTGTAAATTGAACTATACGGATTTATGTCTCTGAAAAGTATAACACTTTCTTTTCGATAAATCGTTTCATGATCACTGCTTCTTCAACGTGAAACGTTTGGCATAAAATATATATGTATATCATAATTTGTAATACCGCACATATTCACGTTTTATAAGTTAAATGCAGAAATTTTGGCAAACATAGTGTGTAACGTTACTTACATTTGTAATTCTAATGATTGGAATGTCGTGAGTGACTACGAAATCCAAAGTTACATAGTGTCATTCATTTATATCTGCATATACGGAGGTAACCTCTACTGTAGTATGGCTACTCATGCTTCAGAAGACATAATATCAGATGAGAATCGAAAGGAGACGTGAGTAAACGTAAAAAGTTTATATTGTGTTTCCCAGAGTGAATTTTATTTAATGTTTACAGAGTAGGTATAATGCGTAAAACAGTACTTTTGTTTAATATATTATACTTCTCTGCCAAACTAAGAGAGCCGACATAGCTATGGACTGGATGGCAGGAGTCCTATTCCTGGCAGGGACAAGAAATTTTTCTCTACTCCACAGCGTCCAGACTGGTTCTGGGCCCCACCCGGTCCTCTGTGCAATGGGTACCAGGGGCAAAATGGCTGGGCTGTGAAGCTGACCACTCACCTCCATCTAGTGCCGATGTCAGTGGTGGAACTATGTATATACTCTCCCATACGTCTTCATGGTGTCATGCTTAATTGATTAGGCACAGGGTCAACTTTACCTTTTATATTACCTTCCAAGTTAAAAATACTTGTAGGATTTGAGATGGTTATGAAGAGTTCTCTCTTCTGGGATATAACACCATGTAGTCTGTTAAAAGTCAACGAACATTTCAGAGAAACGTGATGCCTCCACCTTCAGTGTTAAAGAATAAGCCACTACTGCTGTGCTTGCTTGGCTTATTCTCTGGCACTGAAGATGGAGGTCTCATGTTCCTTTGAAACATCAGTTGACTTTCTGCAGACTACATGGTATTATATCCCACAAAATAAAACTGTTGTTAAGAATATTTGCCACTCATGATTTGTGCCTTTTTATTTTGTGTATTTGCATGATGCAGTGAGGCAGAACGGATACATTTTTTCTCTTTTGAATGCCTCCTGTCATTTTCTCTAATTTATGCTTCTCAATTGTACATTTATCCTCCAGTTATAGACTTTTATCCCCCTTCCATCCAAAGCTATTTTATTGTATTGTATTTGTTTGGAAATACAAAACACAGTTTCCCTGTCACACAATGTAGTAGTGGCGGTTAAGATACTCAAATAAACTTTAGCAGATTACATACAGACTATACAAGCACTATGAGGTGACTAAAGGAAGAAAAAAGATAAAATGCATACGTGAACAAAGTCAATTACCTAATGTCAATAACAGTTATCAATAACTTTTGACTGTTACTTAACCTCTTTATGTAAAGCATCCATACTGTTGCATTAATTATAATAATAATTCAATAATTATTGAATCAGAAATCTATATAATAAATCTGGATTTACAATAGTATGTTCATTGCTTCAGGTATGGAGTGAGTGGTGATTCATTGACAAACCAGCCTCTATCAGATGTGCATTACAACTGGATAGATGTGACTGATGAATTTTTTAAAGCCGTGAAAGGTATGATTCAAAGAGAAGACTGCTATTGAATTTACTGTACTAATTTTGTTTCTCAGCCATAACTCATTATCGTACGTTTGTAGAGCCTCTCAAAAGGTGGTATATGCATCACCAACATGGATATACTGGTTCTTCTTCATGGCTATCCCACCACTTTCATGAGCCTCCTGTAAACTGAACTGGTTTTGTACAATATAAAATCCGAGATTTCCAGAGTGTGAAGGTTCATGTTGTAGTTGCTGAAGATGGGGGCACTTATGTTCTTCTGAAACACTGGTACCAAGTTACAAAATTGCATAGTGTCATAATCGAGAAGACTACAACATGGTGTACTATAAATATAGTCAGTCAGGTAGGTATGGTCATTTAGTCTACTTGCTAGTAGAATGAAAACCTGATGATTATGAGTATTTTTTTTCTGGCAGTTGTTTTTCTTTTGTTGATTATTCTTGTTCTTGTTGGGGTTGCTTTCTTGGTTCTAGAGTTTGTATTTTCATGGCACTGTAATTACATTAGCAGGTGAAATGCCAGATAGAGTAAATTTAAATCTGTGGAAGTCAGTGTGGTGCTGAGCATTCTTGCTTCATATTCTAGTTAGGAGACTAGCTATTCTGAATCCACAGTAGGACCATAGCCATATATATGGCAGTGGTGTCGGTAAATCTGCAGTGTTAAATGATGCAGCACTTTGCCCACAGAATTTACTGGTGGAGCATATTTTAATTTCAAAATGAGCACCCATTTTTTTTAAGAATCACTATATTGTAATGAAAATGTGTGTTTTCTTGAAGGTAAGAATTAACTTTAAAATACTGTTACATGAGTTTCACCCTACAAAAGGTTAAGAGATGCTATGATCACAAATTAAAAAAATAATGTTTCGTGCCCTTTGTGGAAGTAGAAATTGCTTTTAACATTATGTAATAAAGCCATGTTTATAGCTGTCCTCCTGCTAGATATTAGGCATATTCTTTATTAGTATATGTGACTTTTTGGGCATGGTACAAAATTCAGACAGCTACCGCATAAAATTGTAGCTTTTTGAGTTGTGGCCTTGTTATTCTAGGTGTGTCATATACTGGACACATACAACCAAAATGAAATTCAGCTGACAATTTGTCATATAAACATGCAGTATTATATTTTATCAAAATCTGTTGAGCAGTGTTTGAGGTGAAACATGCAGGAGAACAGACATGATCTTCCCATAATGCCTTCCTGCAGGAAGCCCAGAGAAGATTCATATTTTAGAGTTAGTAGAGAGTCTGTCGAGTGTAACAATTTGTAGGTCACTTTTTTAATATCACTTCTGCCTTACATGTTTCGGTTTGATACAACCATCATCAGAGGCACTTGCTATAACTATGGAAACACTGTCGTTGTTTATGATGTTCACAGTTATGTTTGTCGTGTAGACGCTGCTACAATATGCTGACGTGTAAAAGCACAAAACTTACTAAGATAGTTGAGTACACTATCAAGTTCTCACTTTTCATCCGAAACTGTTTTAAGTTAAAACGCTAAATGTTAAAATATTTAATCTAAAATGCTGAATTCCTCCTTGTTAGTTCATCCCGAAGATGGGAGACGTCAGCTTGAAGTTGTATGGCTTATGGTTCGATGTTTCTTATGTGCTGTGTGTTGTGTACTACAGTACACACTGTTACACATGCACTAGGGTTCAGTCTTCACTAGCTGTATCCTGGCAACGAATTATAACAGTCTCACTGTTGCTTCAAATCACACATGAAGTCTTCTTTGCACTGCCTACTCCTTTCTTACCATTATTTTATAGCTGCCAGTTCTGAAGACTTGACTCAATTCAGTTCCTCTGCTACCAAGCTCATGTCCCAGCAGGCTGCCACCCCAAAACTTGACTCTTCATTTCACCCTATGTCAAGTCAAAGTCAAAGTCACATTGAGACTGACAGACAGTCAGTCAGTAAGTCTTGGTGTCGAGCACCCTCCTGGGGCTCATGACCAGATATTTATTACTGCTTGTCAATTACAGTCTTGTTTTTTGTGGGCACCCTCTCTGACGAGAGGACGGGTCTGTCTTTTGTATATGCTGCTGGTCCCTGCCAGCGCCGTCTTTCTCGGGTTCAAGTCCCTTGGTACTCGAGACCATATATTACTGTCTCAAATTTGAGACTCCCCTTTCTGTCACTTCCTACGACTTGCAGTGTCATGGTGGAAGTATTTGATCCCGCTGCCACACGGGTGTCACTCTGTGTTAAAGCTGAACACTTCCTTATAAGCACTTTGCACGGACCACACAGAAAACACAGCCTCTGTTATTAAGGAGGCATGCTTACTGACCTGTTGCCTACCAATGGATGTCCTATTGTTGCACACATTGGCTCTCACAGGAATGTGTTTACAGAGTAATTGCCTGGCAGTGAGTCTACACATCACAGTATTCACCCAATGTCATACATATCCCAGAAGACCATACTACAAATATTCACCATCATGAAAACCTCAAATTCCATAAAATGATATGTTGATTGTGGTGAAATATTGGTAGCATATTGTAATGTTTCAGGGCTGGAGTTAGGAGAGTTACTGCATGATGAACTTTTTGGGCTCTTTGAGGCAATGTCTGCTATTGAGATGATGGATCCAAAAATGGATGCTGGGATGCTTTGCAACAGAGGCAACAAGGCAGCACTCAGCTTTGATCAGGCAGTAGAGGTAACTTAGCATGAGACAATGTAGAGCATGGGTGGGTATAATTCAGCCCAACGATATTTTTAAACCAGCCCATGACAGCATATTAAGACTTCAGTGAAACACAAGAAATGTTTTTTGTGTACACTTACAAGGTACTACTGGAAAGTTCCTGGACTAGGTCAAAAAAGAAATGCTGGATTAACGTACTAAATTCTGGCTATCATTGCCTTCAAAATAGGCTCCTTGGGAACATACACAATGATCCCATCATTTTTCCATGCTTCAAAAGCACCATGGAAGTTAGTTTCCTTAATGCTGTCAGGTACCGCTTGTGATTCTGTTTGAATGTCAGACACTGTTTCAAAACGTCATTCCTTCAGTTTCATTTTCAATTTGGGGAACAAAGCAAAATCATAGAGATCTAAGTCCAGTGAGCAGGGAGCATGGGGAACGACGAACATGTTGTTAGTCACAAACTCTATGGTTTTCAGGGACGTGTGAGCGGGCACGTCATGATGGAGGAGCCAGTTGTGGTTGCACCAAAGTTCCAGTCTTTTTCATCTCACAGTTTCTCTCAAGCATCTCAAAACATCACAGTAAAAGTACAGTTGACCATAGTGTTATGAGGAACAAATTCAAGGTGAACACTTCCCTTCATGTTAAAAAAAAACGATGAGCATGCTCTTTGTTGAACTCCAGACCTACCATGCCCATTTTGCTCTTGGTGATTATGGACTCCTCCACTGTGACAATTGTTGCTTTGTTTCTGGACCATAAACGTACAAGTGAATCCAACTTTCATCACCCATTATTATCCTGGAGGTAAAAGTTGGGTCCTTGTTAGCCTTCTCTCATAGCTCAAGACACATGTTTATGTGCAGCTGCTTCTGATCATTTGTCAAGAGTCTGGGAACAAATTTCGTGGCAGTGTGGCGCATGATCAAATTTTCTGTTAAGAACTTCTGGCAAATTCCATAACTGATCCTAGCAGTGTCTGCGAGTGCATGGATTGTTTGGCGACAGTCATCATGGAGGGGTTCTTGAATTTTTTCAACATTTCCTGTCATTTTCCTGGTGCTTGGTCTCCTTGAACGTCCATCATCTTCAACTGACACTCAACTGGCCTTGAAACATGAATGCCATTCAAAAACCGCTGTCTGGCTTAAAGAATGTTCTCCAAAGGACTCGTGAAGCATTTAAAGGGGTTTGGTAGCCGATTTACCAAGCTTCGTGCAAAACTTGATGCAGACATGTTCTTCAATTTTGCCATCCATCACAGACAAAACGAAACATGAAGTTGAAGAAGCACTTGCATAAAAACAATGCATGTTCACAGCGTGGTGTCACATGGCAGACTGATGCAATAAGCTTGCCAGAGTGTGGCCTTGGCCTCCTCTCTCAACTTCTGTCACCAAGGAAGTTACAACAATGACAGTCCTGGAACTTTCCAATTATAAATTTAATTACCATAAGGTTTAAGTAATTTTAATGAACAGAACACTGTCAAGTTTTAAATGTTTCGAATTTACCCTTAAGCTCCTCTGTGTAGAAATGGAAGACATAAATTGAACATCTATAATATTACACTGATAAAGTTGTATGGCCTGGCAGCCAAAAGAATTGTCCATTTGTAGATTAGAGACTTGAATATGTATATGAACAATAATGCCTGAGTTCAGATTATATGACTAGTATGATTTATTTCAGCTGTATCTTCATTATAATGTTATGTATACGTTATTTGTGAGGTGTTGGTGTCATTTATTATTGAATTTTTAATAGCAAAACCAAGGAACAGGAAACTACAAAATATCATGCATGAATGGGACAGTTATCATTGTCAATGATTAATCCTTGTCTTGGTTTATCATGGCTGGAGTTTAATGGCATTTAGGTATAAACCACATAAAATGCTGAAGATTCTCCAGTGTTTCAGCAAACACTGTGGTTGCCATCTTCAGTGTTTTAGGGGGTTTGTATTGTCTGTGTCAATGGCCACTCCTTGAGCACATCAAGAGAGCAACCAAGGCCATCTCCCAACAAGAACTGCATGTAAAGAGACCACCCTTGAGGTATATTATGCCTTGAGCAGGCAACCTTACAGAAGAAAAGTCCTGTGTGTTCAGTGAGATCTCTTGGTGGTCATTTGGGTTTCCATCATACTGTGACATGATGTCCAGAATTCATAAACTATGGAATGTGGGGTCTGAGGAAGTTTATATATATTAGGCAATGAAAACACCAGTCCCCACCAACCACAATGCTTGAGGTGCTGGTGATGTAAACATTACCTCAGTCATCTGCAGCAATGCAGTATAACAAGGCATGCCAAGCAAGTCATTGTTCTTGTATAGGCCTGCAACCTAGCAGTGAGGTCTGTGATGACAGAATACCAGACGAAACAAGCAAGAATGATCTAATGGATTGTATGATTGTGATTATTTGTAAACAATTATGATTAAGTGTGTTCAGTATTAAATAAATCCATTTCCAACTCAAACCTCATTCCAAAGTATCTGAATTGTGCCACATTTTCAAACCATCCTTTACCTATCTTTACGTCCTTATTTTGCCCTGCAATTTGGTGATGAGACAGCAACATATACTTAGTTTTCTCTTTAAGGTATTGATAAGTATTATCACCCATTAGGTTCACATCATATTAGTTGGGTCCCTTGTCACCATGGTATGGTGTGTCCTCAGGTTGTGGGATGGAGGAGATGCTCTTCAGGTATAGAGGGTATTATTTTTTTTATTGCTAGTGGGGTGGGACTAAGTCCCTTGTACTGCGGCCACTTCTGGCCTATTGTACCTACCATAGATGATAGGTGAGGCTGATTGTGGAGCAATTGGTGGAATGAAGATTGGCAGGGGAAACAGAAGTACACGAGCAAACCTGCCCATCGCCACTTTGTCCACCAGAAATCCCACTTGACCAGACCCAGGATTGAACCTGGGCCACCGCGATGGGAAGCCAGTGACTAACCACTTGAACTATGGCGTGGCCTAGGTGTAGAGGGTAGCTACGAATATACTGAATAAGCAGTCATGATCAGCTGACAAGAGGTGGTCCTCCAGCTTGGGGGTTCGGTATGGGGCTAACAACTCCTCACTCTAAAAAATAAGATTGTTACAAAAATGTTCAAGAAGCCTCAGACCTTATTATGGATGAGTATGACTCAAAACTGGAATTGTGTAAGAACCTTTAGTAAAAGTCTCCCATGTTGAATTTTCAGAAAATTTGTCCAAGAGTTTACATGCTGATACTAGGTCACAGATAGGCAGCCATGACATCCACACAAGGGTCCTTTTACTTTTTAAAGGATGCCTAATATTGCTGAAATGTTCACTAGGTACCTGACAGCATTGTTATATCTCACAGAATACTGAGTCAGACACCCAGAAGGGGCTAACATTGTTGTACTGTGTTTTCTCGGTCTTCCAAGTGGTTTCCTCAAATTTTGTATGTGGTTCTTGTCCCTCCATCCCGTTGCCATTTCAGTGATTTTAATTCACAAGATTTCTTGTTATGCAGTATCTTATACTGGCCACCTACTGTATCTCTCTTAGGTTCAAATAGGTGCCATCTACTGTCAGCAGTCTGTCTTAAAGCCCCAAAGATCCTTTTATGATGTGTTTACAGTAAAGAATTGCAAAAATGTGCCTATACCGGTGTCTCTCTCTCTATCTGCAAGTGTCGACTTGGAAACTGTAGAACATACTTCATGAAATTTGCTATTGGAGAGTTATATCAAAATTTCTAACACATTCCAGTTTTGGTTTCAATAACACAATAATAGACACTTTAGGTGAAGACCTACATGTGTTTCTGTGCAAATCTTGAGCAAAGTTGCATATAGTTTTCTAAAATCTGTCAGAGTGAAAAGCTTTCCAGACAAAAGTTGGAGAGAAAATGAAACACACATTTCATGTCCAGTACACTTCATATGTCTGATGGGTTTCGAGATAACTGAATAGAAAGGACCGTCATGCTATGTCATATATGTTAATTACTCTATATGCGTTAATGAGGCGAAAATGCTATAAGTGATGGGCTACACCTATATTTCCTACCTTTATTTTCTGTAGTATAGCATTTGTATGTATTTTCCTTTTCTCTGTTTCTTGCATGTGATAAAGTATCTAATATTTGTGGTGCACATTATGAGAGGCCTATTACATTACAGAGTATCTCATAGTTATGTATTGAAGATTCTCTGGTTTGTATGTAACTGTGACTTTTATGTAACTTCTCAGGTAGGAGCTTTGAAACTTCAAGATCTGAGTTTGCCAGAAGAGATTGGTATAATTGATTCAACGTTGTCCTGTTTGGTATCCTGGCTGGAAGGGCATTCTCTAGCTCAGACAGTGTTCACCAACCTTTACCTTCACAAACCACATCACATTGAAGACAGGGTCATGAAAGCCTTTAGTATAAGCATTTTTAAAATAGTGGACATTATCAAAGACTTTGTAAATAGGTGAGTTGATAATATTCCATGGTAGGAAAAACAAATAAAACTCCCTTTTTAATATTATATTTAAGCATCCTGTTGCACTCTATACGATAAATGATATAATGATACAAATTCTGTCCCAAGTGCAAACAATATATTATGTGTCCTTGATCTTGTTCACCCACACTACATGTTTCGGCCACAGACGGCCATCATCAGGTGTATAACACTCACGTCGCTGTCACACTGCACTCAGCCCAAAATTTAACATTTAAAACACTTTCCTTGTTATTATCAACATCTATTTCGTTGATATCTGTCTGGATGTAGATCACTTTACACACGTTAATTCTGACGTACCTGTAGTAGCACTATAAAATCTTTAGTTCTAATTTTAAAATCCTTTAAATTTTTTTTTTCTCAAATTCCAAATTTAAAATTGTTAGGGTTACTCGCCCTATGTCTAAAGTGCTGTAGCGGCTAGTTCTTGTTCCCACACTGTATAGGTGTTATCCTGTGTAGTCTTCCTGTGTGCGTGCCGCTGTTATTCTTTACTACGTGACACGTAGTACGTAGTTCGTAGAACTAGCCGCTACAGCACTTTAGACATAGGGCGAGTAACCCTACCAATTTTAAATTTGGAATTTGGAGAAAAAAATTTTAAAGGATTTTAAAATTAGAACTAAAGATTTTATAGTGCTACTACAGGTACGTCAGAATTAACGTGTGTAAAGTGATCTACATCCAGACAGATATCAACGAAATAGATGTTGATAATAACAAGGAAAGTGTTTTAAATGTTAAATTTTGGGCTGAGTGCAGTGTGACAGCGACGTGAGTGTTATACACCTGATGATGGCCGTCTGTGGCTGAAACATGTAGTGTGGGTGAACAAGATCAAGGACACATAATATATTGTTTGCACTTGGGACGGAATTTGTATCATTATATCATTTATCCCTTTTTAATATTGTCAGGTTCCACCTTTATGATAGTGTTTGTATGAACTCTGAATAAGTGAGTTTTTTTATCCCTGTAAATACTTATACATGACAGTTGCATTCCCAAGTGAGGCCATGTAACTTGATTTTTTCCTTTTGATGCTCATTTTTATAACTTTAATTTTCACTGCAAAATACATAAATCAGTGATTTTAATTCACAAGATTTCTTGTTATGCAGTATCTTATACTGGCCACCTACTGTATCTCTCTTAGGTTCAAATAGGTGCCATCTACTGTCAGCAGTCTGTCTTAAAGCCCCAAAGATCCTTTTATGATGTGTTTACAGTAAAGAATTGCAAAAATTGCAAAAGAATTGCAAAAAAAAATTGCCTATACCAGTCTCTCTTTGGTACCATTCATTTTGGCCATTTACAAATATTAATTATTTTTGTTTTTAACAACAGCATCACATATTACTCAATAATTACTAACCATTCATTGATTTTATTAATTAATTTAAAATTAAATATTTAATTTAGGCAGTAAATACATTCAGTGTACAGGGTGATACATTATTACAAAAATGTATGCATTCTGCACACATGTATCAGTGGGCCACAAATTGAGAATCCCTGCTCTTCACTACTTTCTTAAGGAAACAGCTGCATTATAATTGTCTTGTCTGTATGTTTGCCTGAAGAATGGATCCATATTATAATACTTCCCTTCTATGACAAGTTTATGTATTTATTTATTTATTCATTTATTTATCAATGATATGTTTGCCTAGTGCTTTCATACATGGTCAGTGTTGGCCAATCTGGCCTCTGCACACCTAGGCAAGAGTGCAGAACCCATTTCTGAGGTGGGGCATCCATAGGGCAAAATGTGTTACTCCTACTGAGAGGGTGATAATGGGAATGATGGTGGAGGGGAGGCCGATATTTGACACAGTCCCGAATTTTTGACTGTGGTGAAAATGAAGTGTCAGCCTGTAAGCAAAAAAATCTACACACAGATCTGCCCAGGGATCAAACTCAGAACCCTCTGAATGAGAGTCCAGGATACCACCCTGAAACCATCAGGTCTACTTTATCAGTGATATAAAAACCTAAAGTAATTTACATTAAACAGTGTGATTGTTAAAAAGAATGCTGCTAAATTACAAGAACAAAATTCAGTTTCCTCAACTTAAGAAATTACATTTGTTGACCAAGTTTCACAGTTCGCCTCTTAATTATCCTACTCCCTCCACCTCCTGCAGTCACTCTTTAAAGTACAGTGGCTACTGTATATACCACCCTCTTTAAAGTTTGGAAACTCTTCATTTTGCCCACAGTGTATGCATTTCATATGATTCTTGTAACAAGCAGCAGTTATTTCCTTAAACAACATTAACTAGTTGGTCTTTGTAATGGTGATGCAATTATTCAGTTAGGAAGGAACTGAATTTTTTAACATTATTTACATGAATTTTAGACTTCTTCATGAACTTGATGTTCTGTACTCCTTAATTTAAGCATTTTTTTTGGGGGGGGGACATCAGTTTTGTAGTAAAAAATAATACTTTTAATGTGGACTCAGTATGTTATGCCATATTTACAGTATATATCTAAATATCTTGTGTAATTTCGCTTTCAAATAACCATCCACTCCCCCATAAGCCTTCATGGCATAGTACTTAATTGGTTAAGCACATGGACTTTACCTAAGTCACTCATTGCAGGAATTCATCCACTTTTTAAACTGTGTCTGGTGAACAACATTTTTAACTTATATGTAATATGATATTTTCCAGGGATACAGCTACTATGTAATTCTTTATAAATCTTGGATTCTGTTTTAACCCTTCACAATTTTTGATATTTCATACATTAACACATGTTGGGAGATCATAACATTTCAACCACAAGTCACTCGTAGTGTGTGTACAGCATTTATGTACAGTAGGGTGTACTGTCAGCTGCCCCTCATTGCTAATACAATTCAATACAGAGCCTTGGTATTTGAAGAGGAAGATTTTCAACCTATGGTATATGGTTACCGGCTGATACCTGATGTATCTGAACCTCGCACAATGGGCATGTTAAAGGAGGTAGAAGAAGAGCTGCACCGCCGGACACGCAGCAAACCATCAGATTCTTGTTTGAGTGATGAGGTAAGGTTCACTGTAAACATCAAGGATTATAGTGAGAGGTGAAATGAACTCAAGACTGGTTAGGAGATCAACAGAAAAATATAAAATAGTCCTGAGTTCTTTTAAATTATGAAATTACGAAACAGAGAGCTCTTTGGAAAACAGCACTCTATAAAGTATATATTAAATCAGTACTAACATTTAGCACCAAAACATGGACACAAAGAGAAATTAAAACTAAATGCAAGTAGTGGATATGGAATTTTTCAAAAGTACTGGGGGAAAAACAAGAAGGGGTAGAATTTGAAATGAAAGTTAGAAAAGACTGGAATCTAAAATTTGTTAATAGATTTAGAAGAGAGATCACTGTGGTGGTTTAACCATGCAAAAATAATGGATAGAATGTGGACATCAAGGATATTAGAATTAAAATTTAAAGGAAAGGACCTGTGGGATGACTCAGAACAAGAGTTCAGCCAGATATTGAAATACATATTTATTATTATTCATCATTATTCCTTATTACTATAATGGTGATTGCTTCTGCTGTTTTTTCTGTTGTTTATTTTACAGTGCTTTTAGTATGTACTCTATAGTACTGATGGATGATTGATGAATGATGAATCAGAAAGGACTTGGAAGGAAGGTATTGTGGTCTAATCTCAGCATAAGACCACAGAATACTTGTCAGGATATCTGGTATTATCCTGGTCAAGATTCAAACTGAGCACTTCCAGAACACAAGTTTACAACATTACTGTTACATCAGTGATCTGAGTCTTGTTGAGCTGCTGGTGCTGCTGCCACCACTATCTGCCAGCCTTTTCTTGCCATTAAAGTAGTCAGCATTATTTCCACAGTCTCACTGTTTGACCTCACAGTCAAGACCTGTGTGCCTTAGAATGCATGAACAGTGTCATCATCAGTACCATAATTACATAATTATAAAATCCACCCTTTGGTGCACAATGTATGACCTGTTATAGTGTAGGATTTGGCACAAAAGAGTGTAATCTGTTTCTTCCATTTCTTGTTTTAGCATGAAGATGTGGTGGCATTGTACTCACGCATTAAGTTCATGAGGCTACTATATCAAGCACTGGTTTGTCTTGGTCGCCGGGAACAACCTGGGCTGGGTGACTGTCACAGGCTCTTGGGTAGTTGTTCTGAGCTATTGGTCACCATGCAGAAGACTGTAAACAGAGGACTTCAACCTGAAATGGAATGTAAATACACTTCTTAATGTCACACAAACTCTATGATAAAACTGGATAATCTGATTTAACTTGACACATTTCCATATAATTGTCGTAGTGTACTTAGGGAACTGCTTCTCAGTTATTGAATGTACGTAGGGTCAGTGATGTTAAGCAGATAGCAGTACATACATCTGAGCTTAGTCCCTTTGGGGTTCAAAATTGCTGTTTCATAGTTGGAAAAGTATAACTGACTGGGCATGGATCAATGAATTGATTCACACAGGATGTGAAACATTACCGTCTGATATCCATAAACTCATTAATTGTATTTGGAATAAGGAAGAATTGCCTGATGAAGTGGAAGGAGTCTATTATTTTACCAGTTTACAAGAAGGGCAATGAAACTGACAGTAGTAATTATCATGGGATGTCACAGTTTTCAACTTCATACAAAATTTTTATCCAATATCCTTCTCCCAAGGCAAAGGCCACAGAGTAGTCACCTTGAAGATGAACAGTAAAGGTCTCCAAAATGTCAGCAGTACAACATGTACAAGGGTTGGAACTTTAATAGTGGCAACACTGCTGTAGAGATGCTTATACCACACGTTAGTTACATACCTACCTTACCTGAGAGCAAATGGACTCTCCCTTCCCACATCACGTGCATTTGCAGTGACAAGAAGAATAGAGCCTCATGTTAGCTGGCGGTCTAATGTAGTGTTGTGACGATGTTTTCGAAACAGGAACAACGGAGTTGGATAAAGATTGAATGTGCCAGAGGCAGTACAGCAAGACAGTGTCATCAAGGTCTTCAAGAGGCTTGCAGGGAATCTGCATTGCCTTACAGAACAGTGGCAAGGTGGGTAAAAGCCTTCAACAAGGGATGCCAAAATGTGGCAGACATGCATTGGCCAGGTTGTCCTAGTGTCAGCGAAGAAGAAATGTATGCTCTTTCCGCGTTACTGGAGAGTGAGTGATGCTATACGATTTGTGAGCTGGCCCGAGAGGTAGGATTAGCACATACGACTGTGCTTCGCATTCTGAAGGGATGCCTGGGCATGAGAAAAATTGCATCACAATGGGTTCCGCATAATTTGACGGAAATGCAGAAATGGCAAGCTGTGGCTGATTTGTTCGATCGATGGGGCTGGGAAGTGCTGTACCATCCACCATACTCCCTGGACTTAAGCCCTTGTGACTTTGACTTGATTCCAAAGATGAAGGAATCACTTCATGGCATTCGCTTCAGAACTGTCCCAGAGATTCTTCAGGTGGTAGACTGCTCCATTCGAACCATCAACACAACAGGCACTGCTAAAGGTATCCTACGACTTCCACATCGCTGGCAACGGGTTGTACACGATGCTGGTGACTACAGTGAAGGACAGTAAAACTTCAAAACATGCATCTATTTTGTATCAGTTGTAAATAAATAGTTGCCACTATTAAAATTACACCCCTTGTATTTCTACATAATACCAAACCCCAAAACTTGATTAAATATAACAAAAAAAGCTTCATAACTGGTACTGTGGGGATGTGAAAAACATGAAGGGGTAAGATGGGGAGAAAAAGAAATGTTTATGAAATGTTGATAGGAAGAGAGAGACCACTTTTGAGATTTGAACATAAATGGGAGGGTAGTATTAAACTTGGTATCAGAGAAATTTTATATTAAAACTGAGTTGCCTTCAGGTAGTACCCAATGGTCAGCTGTAGTGGTGCTGGTGATGACAAACCTTCATGTTTGTCTCTTGGTCAGGTCAGTAAATAGTTGATGCTTATGGAAGACAAGCTGCAGGTGGCAGGGTTTTGTCGTTACAAAGATGAGGTGTCTCATGTTCCACAGGACCATTAAATTCATTTTATATTAATCATATACATGTGTATTTTGTTCCCAGCTGATCACCCAACAATACTGGGATTTGATCCCCTTGTTAATCAGCGGTTACTACCACCCACATTTCCTCGATACACAAAAATTAAGTCTCGTATTGAAGCTTTGGAGTATTTTGATGAATTGCTGAACAGATTAAAAGTTGTGTGTAAAATTACGAGTCACACCTCATTTCACAGTGCACTGGTAAGTTTAGATTAAGATCCAATAAACATAAAGTCATTATCATCTACTGACATTTCCACTATGACAGTAACGAATTTACCTTATGTGGCAGTATTAAGTGTTGTGAAGAATTATTTTTTACATACATATACAGGTGGACTAGGAGGATTCTGGGAGGTCATAGTATTGGTCATTCTAAGAAAAAAAGAGTGTATATATAGATGTGTCCTGTTCGAAATGGTTTCTGACTTAGGGGGATGGATGTTGTTGCCCACATAAAGGAATGTCAAGATGCACTCAGATGAGCAACATGTCATGTCCTCACACGAGTTGCATAGTGTACTGACGTTCACGGAATTTTTGAAAATATATTATAGTAGGTAAACTGTACCAACTTTGTCACTTGAACAATAAATACTAGTATTAGAAACAGTACATAATATCTCTCATTAACGATATTGGAACTGTACAGTGATATAGCTCTATCTCAGAAACTGTTCAGAATAGGACACATGTATATATACATTTTTTGCTTAGAATGACCGATACTATGACCTCCCAGTTCCTCCTGGACATCCTGTGTGTGTGTGTGTATATATATATATACACACACACACACACACACACGAGGAGCTTTTCCGTATATAATGCCTCCTATTTTCTTTAATGAAAACTACAATAGATACAGAAAGCATAATAACACAGTTAAATAGAGCAAGATTTCAGCTACTTACAGTTATTTTTCCACATAATCACCACCATTCGTTATGCACTTTTGCTAGCGATGAACAAGAGCCTGTATGCCGCGCCTGTAAAAGTCTGCACCAGCAGAGGCTAGCCACTATCTTACAGCTGCAATGACAGCATCGTTGTCTGTGAAAATGTTGCCCACATAGTCCATCTTTCATAGGCCCAAAGAGATGGAAGTCTGAAGGTGCTAAATTGGGTATAAGGTGGATGTAGTAGGACAGTCCAGCGGTGGTCGCCAAACTGGTATGGGGTCTAGTGTTATCGTGTTACAAGCGAAAGGTTGTCTGCTTCTCTGGCCTTACTCGGGCAGTGTGGGCTTTCAGCTTAGTCAGCATTGTCTTGTAGCGTTCAGAACTGACAGTCTCACCAGGCTCCAGGAAATCCAACAAAATCACATCCCGCCTATCCCAAAAGACCGTGAACATCACTTTCCCTCCCGATGGCTGTGTCTTGAACTTCTTTTTCTTGGGGAATCCGGATGTCGCCACTCCATGGACTGTCGGATTTCAGCTCGTAGTGGTGACACAATGTCTCATCTACAGTGACAATGTTGTCCAGAAACTTGTCACGTTCAGCCTCAAACTGGTGCAACAAGTCCTGACAGACTTCCATTTTATGAGTTTTGTGGTCCTCTGTAAGCATCCACGGGACTCATCTGGAACAAACTTTGCGATAATCCAGCTTCCCCAACATCATTTTCTATGCATTACAGCCAATATTAAGCTGTGCACACCGTTCCCTGGTCATTATCTGCTGATCTGTATGGATGAGCTGATTGAGGCGCTGTTCATTGTCAGGAGTGGCAGCTGAGCAGGGATGCCAAGGGCATGGTTTGTCGTGCACTTCACTTTCACCACTGTTGAAACGCACTACCCACCACCTCACTGTGCTGACATCCACTCTATCATCTCCATACACCTTTAGCAAGCATTGGTGGATGTCAATGGGTGCAATTTGTTCGGCAGTGAGAAATTCGATAACACATATCTGCTTCGTACGCACTTCTATGTCAGACACCATTTTGGTAGACTGCTCTGCTGTCGGTATCTGTCGCACGACAACCAAACCAAACAGTACATTGGCGGGAAGGTTCAGCTTTTACTACAACACCACCAACATCCAGCTCAGACGTTACATATTAACACAAAAAAATAGGCATTATATACAGAACACCCTTCATATATATAAAAAACTGTAGAACCTTAACTCCCATGTTAGGTGAGTCCCTTGTCACCACAGCATGGCATGTCCTCAGATTGCTGATGGAAGAGACGGCCTCCAGATATGGAGGGTACCTGAAAATATATTAAATAAGCAGTCGAGGACAGCTGACAAGGGATGGTCCTCCAGCTTGGGGATGACAACTCCTCACCATAAAAATAAACTTGTTACAGAATGTCACAAAGTTCCTCAGCCTTAGACGGATTCTTTGTATAAATGAATGAAATTAAGGATAATGGACATGCGATTTGGTACGTCTGTATAGGGCAGGTTCACTCATGACAATGCAAGAGAAACATCGAAATATAAATTATTTAAGTGGGCATATAGGAGGTGAAATGGGATGGGTGGCACCAAGCCAGCAGGTGAATATACATTTTTCTATGAATTAGGTATGGATTTGTTTGTACATAAGAGAATTATATCAGCAGTTGAGAGGATTCAATTTTCTTTTTCATGATAGGATGTCATACATAACACTAAGAGGGTGCTGGTGTAATACTGTTCTGAATGTTCATGCCCCAACAGAGGATAAGTTGATTATATGGAGGGCAGCTTTTATGAGGAACTAGAATGTGTATTTGATAAATTCCCTAAATACCATGTAAAAATTTTGTTAGGAGATTTCAATGCCAAAGCAGGTAGGGAAGTCATTTTCAGACCAACGATTGGGAATGAGAGTTTGCATGGAATTAAATGATAATGGAGTTAGAGTAGTAAACTTTGCCACATCCAAAACTGTGACTGTCAAAAGTACAGTGTTCCCACTTTGTAACATTTGTAAATTTTACTTGAACATCATATTCACAAGAACCTGCCACTGGTCCCTATTCTGAGCCAGATAAATCCAATCTGTATATCTATACATGAAACTGCCAATCTGAATTGAGTAATTAGCCTCATCCTTGCTATGTATACAGGAAGGCCATTTGGTGCCTGTGCCAAGCCATGGCAGTTTACTATGTTCTATCATTGTGTCAGCTGTTTTCTTGCTTGGTCAGCTATAGTGATGATGAAACTGCAGCAACATTCACGTCCACTTCAGTTATCTGCTTTACAGCTCTATCTCATAATTAATTATATCTGCATATAGAACATGGAACCTTTATTCCTCATTGAACTTAGGGAACACTGAACACCAGCTATTACATTGTGGAATGGAACCGCCGCCGCCACCACTACTGTGTTCGTGCCAAAGGATGTGCATACATCCCACATGTTTTAAACATATGTTCTACTTCTGTCATAATGGTTAATTTAGACCATATACAAATTGAAGAGGACTATCTTCTATTAAATGCCATGTAGTACACTGAAAGTAAACCAACATTTCAGAGGACCATTTCAGCTCCATCTTCGGCGTCAAATAAGCTGAGCATGATACCAGCATGAAAGCAGGCTGCTTGCAACCTGCTTTCGTGATGGTATCTTGCTCAGCTTATTTGACCCAGAAGATGGAGGCGATATGTTCGTCCAAAACGTTGGTCAACTTTCAATGGATTATGTGGCATTATATCTCAGAAGATCAAACTCTTCATAACCACTGCTCTGAGAACTTCAGATCCTAGACACACAAATTATTTTTGTATATTTATTGTAGGATTTCTTCATTGACTTCAGTCGGCATGGGCCATGCATCCTTTCCCGCTCCATACTACAATTAATGTATCTTCCCCAATGCAACAGAGTATTTGGTACCTTTAATTTTGTGGATGTTCTACGAGATGCTGCTAAGAACTTCATATTTCCACCAGCTCTAATGCCAAAGTCAACTTTATTGAACAATGCTCAGGTAAAAAGCTAACTTTATATAATTTTTTTAATTAAAGTAATCTTTAGATATAGTAAATAAAATAAAGGAGCAATTTTAAAATCTTGTGCATGCAATTTCTTTAGCAGCTTTGCACTACATTATTGCAGCAGTGCATGTCTGTAGGTCAGCTGCCCAGTGTTCAATGGAACCACCCCCCCCCCAAGTTAAAATATGGCCACTGATCCTGTGGAACTGGGAAATTCAAATTATTCCTGGATTATAAAGATCAGGAATGTGATATCATTCTTTGTTGAAAATANCCTCTTGAATTTTTGGCAAAAAATGTGCGGCCTATACATGTGTAAATACGTTATATAAAACTAACAGTAATTTTTCCACCTGTTTTTATGGCAGCATGTTTCTTATTCTGAATGAAAAACATTAATTACACATGTCAGGGAACAAAACATGTTAACACGAGAATGATGAACTTTGTAACTTAGGCAGGTCACCTAGTTTCATTACAGCAATGTAATCCAGAAGATTTAGATGGCCTAGGCATGTACCATGGATGGATGAAAAATGTATACAGAATTTTAATGGGGAAATGTCTAAGAAGTAACCACATGAAAAATCTAAAATATGTTGGAAGAATAACATGAAGACAAATCTTATAGACAACAGGTTTTGCGTTGAGAGTTGGTTACCTCTGGATAGTATTAATTTTATTAGCAGTGTTACATCTACAGGTTCTACTACCTGAGAGTTACTTTCTTTCATTTTTTAAAATAAACCTTAGAACATTACCAGATCAGAAAATTCTGTGATTATGAATTTAATATATTGAACATTTTGTGTGATATCTTTATCTCAGAATTGCATCCTTTTGTCAAGACTAATTAATACCTGATATGTAGTGTGAACCAAAATACTCCATGGGATGGTATTGTTAGCCAGTTATTTTTTCTTATTTATGATTTATTTAATGATGCTCTGTGAAGCTCAGACAATACAGCACTGAATTTTCGGTTGTCAGTGAATAATGAATATATATATATATAAAACTGCTCATTGTTTACTTCAACCATGGAAAATTATTTTTACAGATGAGCCATATCAACAGATCAACCTTTGCAGGCCACACATCCAGATATATAATGATATGTTTTAAGTTCATTTATCCAATTTGTAGATAGTAATACATAATATAAATTGATAAAGTTTAAGGACACCAAATCATGTAGCATACCTATATTGAGTAATAATTAATGGGTTAATTAAGAAAACAGTAATTTTTGTATGAAGACAATTACAAGACATAGAGATGGATTGAAGCTTTAGAATATCCTGCTAACTTGTGTTAAGAATGAACATAAGAGAAATCAGACTGTTTCAAGTTTTACTGCAGTAGCTAATTCCATCATATTCTATGAGGTGATTTTTGTATGTGCATGCAGTGAGTAAATGCACTGAAGGGTTACCACTAATAGGACAGTCTGAATACAACAGTGTGTCCACAGGTACACAAAGGGTTCATTTTCTCCATCTTCCTTCTTTGTTAGGTCACATTGCTATCATCAGAACCCTGTTCTCAAAAGTTTCAATCAATATTCTTCCCCTAGAGTAAGAGCTCAAGTTACATACATGCATAAAAAATAATGTAAAATTATAGTTTTATAAATTTCAGTCTTCAGGTTTCTTTGGTAGCAGAAATGAACCTTCCTAGTGAATAATGTCGTGTTCATTGGCTGTTGTGTCCATTAATAAGCTGTCACTTCATATACACGCTGTACATTGAAATGTTGAAGTTATCATGTGTGTGTGTATGGTAACTGAAGCTTTGTGCTTATGTTTCAGGCAAAGGAATATGTAGAAACTTTCCTTAATCATTGTGTTCGACCATTTGGCAATCTTATGCAGCTGTGTGGTCACAATCGAGCAAGACAGCGCGACAAGCTGGCACATCTACTAGAAGACTTTGCTACATTGCAAGATGAGGTTTGTGTCCATATTTATGGTGTTACATGCTTCCAAGTTCTGAAGAATTCTGCTAAGTAGATATTAAATGGATATTAATTTTTATTATACATAAAATATATTCTTGTTGCAAAGTTAATACAGTTATCTGCCACATATTTGTCCACAGATTCTCCACCTTGCATATTACCTCTATCTCCATGCATGATTCTCACATTTGTTAGGACTTTATATAATTGCAGATGGAGCATCTATCTTTGGTACCATGTGTCCATAGAAAACCAAATTCCTTCATGAAGCATTAAAATTGGATGGTGATTTCAAGGCTTCATTTACATACCAGACAAGATTTAAGCAATTCCACTGTATCCACAATACTGCTCTACAGGGTTGAACTCTTTTGTGCAAATGCTCTTGCAACTGATGCCTTCCATGCAGAGTTTCAGAAATTTGTGCTAGAAGAAAACTGAAATCTGAACTACAGTGTTTTTAAATGAAACCTATAGTAAAGTTCATATAGGTGAACATTTGTCTGATACATTTCCTATTCAAAATGGTCCAAAACAAGGACATGCTTTATCGCCACTGCTTCTCAAATTTGCTTTAGAGTATGCCATTAGGAAGGTCCATGAAAACCAGGCAGGATTGAAATTTAATGGGACACATTAGCTTCTTGCCTATGCTTATGATATTAATATAATGGGGGATAATAATATGATAAAGAAAAACACAAAAGTTCTGTGAGACATTAGTAAGGAGTTTGGTCTAGAAGTAAACACAGAAAAAATTAAGTATATACTGTATTGATGTCTCAGCACCAGAATGCAGGACAAAATCATAACATAAAGATAGCTAACAGATCCTTGAAAATGTGGCAAAGTTCAAAATTGTATTCATGAAGAAATTAAGAGCTGATTAAATTTAGATAACACTTGCTACCATTCAGTTCAGAAGCTTTTTGTTTTTTCGTCTGCTGTTTAAAAACATAATAATTATAATTTTGTCAGTACTTTTGTATGGGTGTGAAATTTGGATGCTGACATTAAGGGAAGAACATACACTGAATGTGTTTGACAACAGGATACTGAGGAAAATATTTGGACTGAAGATGGATGAAATAATAGGAGGTTGGACACAACTGCACAGTGAGGATGTTCATAATTTTTAATCCTCACCAGATATTAGATGATAAATCAGGGAGGGGAGGATCAAGCTTTCACCTCATATCATGTCCATACATCCTGACTTCCCTTATCTTTGGATCTTATGCGTACTGGACTAGTTCCCAGTTTCTGTCTGTCTGATCTGGCTCACCCTAGGGATTAATCGCAAGTGCTTGTAAACATGGTAATGAACCTTTAGGTTCCATAAAATGCTGAGAATGTCTTTAGTGAGCAACTGCTAGCTTCTCAATAAGGACCCTGTTCCATGGAGTTAGTTAAAAATTCATATTGTTCTTCTAGGTATAACACTATCTTCATATGGAGGCAGCATGTTCCTTTGAAATGTTGGCAACTTCCTACCAGACTACATGGCTTCATAACCCAGAAGACTATAGTACAAGTCTTCCATTATCCTAAAAATCTCAAATTCCATATACTGTTCCATAAGGCGCTTATTCCAAAAGTTTGGTCTTTCCTGGAAGAGAAAGCATTTTCACAGGAAGTAGGTTTGGTGTTAGACAAGTGCCTTCTCATTCCAGCACACTGGCACTGAATGATGATCTCGTTATTGTGAAAATGTTTGCCCCATGATATCATATTTGGGGTGCCTCGGGCATGGTCATCAGTGAAACCAGTAATGCTTGTTTGATTGTGGGGGGGGGACTTCTTCCATACCTAGAGGGAGATGATTTTTAAAGGTTTTTCAATAAAGTCAATAAGTATGAAGTTGGTGACTGGAGAATGTTTTGATAAGAGTCTGAAAAGTTTGAAGGGTGGAGGCAAAATGTCATGCATTCACCTTGTTTCCTGTATATGATAGATAAGCTGCAATGAAACAAAGCAATGAGGAAAAGAGTGGTAAGGATGAGAATTGAGAAGGAAACGGTCACTGTGTTTACTGTGTTCATCACATAACTTCGTTAGACTGTACATCAGTGGGAGTCTGAATATTTTGGTTATTACAGCTGCAAGGAAGTCACTGTCATGAGAAGTCAAGTACCTGCTGAAAAAAATGTCAAAATGAAAGTTGCACATATAATAGTGTGTGTGAAAAACTGTTAAGTAATTTGTGACATACAAGACTACAGAAAAAGACATCTTTGATATGTTTTTTCATGTATCTTCACTAGCCCAAATAATCAGGTGACTGTTATTTTCTTTTGTAGCATGATATGTACTGCATATCATTTGTTTTATTAACATTCACTCTGTACTTCAGATTAATAATTCATAGTTTAATCATTTTCTTGATCCTTTACTTTTGTACTATTATAAAATCAAATTCAGGCCAAAAACCCAGAACAAGTATCACATCAGCAGACTAACTGCTAGCCATTTAAACAGTTACTATTTGAAATGGACTTACTGCTTCTGACAGAAGTAATAATCAGACAGTAACATTTAAATTGATCTTAGTGAATGTGTGTGTGGATTGGATTCAGCTGATTCAAAGTAGTATGAAATTGTGTGAGCACAATGATAAACATTTCGGTTCTGTGAAAGCAGATAATTTCTTTACAAGACAAGTAACTATAAACTTGACGATGATGACTCCAAAGGCGGAAAGATACTGAGTATCAGTAGCTCCTGAACTCCAAAAGAATCCATTGTTTTATATATATAGGCTTGCCAGAAATGAAAATCATGACATATTTAAGTTCATATTTTACTATTTCTGTGAAATATGGTGGCTTATTGAAAGGGATTTGTGGTTGAAGAAAATGATTTCAATAAGATATTAAATGAAACAAATCTTGTTTGTGACTGCAGGCAGAACGGGTGGATGCATATTTGCATAATCTTTCTCTCAAGTCAGACTCACCTCGTCCACATCTAGCCTGTTTTGGTACATGGATACTGTATCACACATTAAGGATCATGATAATGTACCTGCTTTCTGGTTTTGAGCTGGAACTGTACAGTATGCATGAATACCACTATATATTCTGGTGAGTAGAACAGATTGTCATGTTCACATTGTATCTGTAAAATTTTAATGTGGTTTTCATACTGTGATATTCTGTATAAAATCAGTGCTAGGAAAATGAAATGAAAGAGGAGCAATGAATGTTTATCTGTGTTTTCAGTGCAGTTCAGTATGAGCCTCATTCATCACTATGCATAATATTGTAATTCATGCCACATGTGACTAAGAAATCAGTAGTGCTAGTGTCATGTGTGTCCCTGAATCAACACTTTGAATACCTGTGTCATCACTTTTCGCTCCTGACACATCTTATTTCACATACTTCCATACATGAAATGGGAAGATGACCCAGAGATCGGTGGGGCCAAGTTGTTACATCTCCTTTCAATCTGCCATCCTGAAAAATGTTCATTTATATTTTCACACAACGTCTGACTGAATCCGCTTGGCCATGAACTCATTCACACTCAAACTTAAGTGCTGTTATACCAAGTCCTTAAAGACAAGGATTCACAGACTCATGGATAACCTCACAGAACATTCCAGAAGGATTACATAATTTATCTATTTAAAATTCTTCTGATGTAGGATTAATCATATAAATATTACTAGACTGTTGAGTTTGTTTTATGCATTCAGGTATCTATATGAATTCCTCTATGGCTGGCTGGTGTCTGCATTGTCAAGAGCAGACAGTTTCCTCATGGAACAGGAAGCAATTGCTGAGAGTCATAGAGGTCGTGGTGCAAAGAAAAATAAGACAAAGAAGAAGAAGACAAGACCTTATGGAAGAGAAATAGCTATGTACCAAGCACTGCAAAACTTGTGTGGTGGATTCTACAAAGTAAATATTACAGTTAATTCCCTTGCTTTCCAGTATTACTTAATAAACTGTCAATCACATTATTCCATCCAAGACAGGTAATTGTACAATTATCACTGCAAGCTGCATTTGGATACAGACTGTATTTCTGTAACCATTAAACTGTCAATAATGAATGCCCATTGTTTTATGGATTCAGTTCTTCCCGTTACCATGAAAATTGAAACTGAACTCACTCAATGTCAGAGCATAACAAGTGTTGCAGACGTTGGTTCGTCTCAGTGCACACAACTTTGATGATTACAATGATAGTGAATCTGTAGTTAACAGTGTTAAATAATAATAGTGAGAATGTTTTAGTTACTATCAGAAGAGTGTTAAGACTTTGGTATGTTGGATCTGATGACTGCGTGCGTTGTACAACGCATGCAGCCACAAAAGGACATATCACAAGACACAGTACACACAAAATATAGGAGGGACTCCCATAGCAGAAGAATGATATAATACGTGACTTTGAAATACGATGTATAAGATGATAAATCTTAACAAATATTAATATATAAATTTTATTATAGTACATGATGAATATACACTTTAAATCATTTTATAAACGACACATGATGGCGAGCAGTGCAGTAGTTTAACATAAATAACACACCTGAGGATGGCACAGTGATGCCAAAACATGTAGTGAAGTGACAAGTGAGATTGTGTGCAATAGAAGACGGTCAATACATACACATCATGGATGCGAATCAGTGCAACAGGACGCTAAAATACAACATTAGTGTTTAATTCTGTTCACAAGGTTATTTTGAAAGTCTGCAACTAAACATACAGTTTGAATCTTTTCCATGTTATCAGTTACCCTAACGATTTCCTTGGTTTCTCCTAGATCCATAGCCACCTCCTCCTACATCCATTCACCATTCGTGATTATCACTCCAGATCATTCAGTGCCACATAACCTCTGCAAGTGATACAGCATTCTTCACCCTGTCCATGTTGTATATGATATTCCACACTTGAGATTTTTCTCTGTACATGGTTTCTGACATTTTGTATGGGAACATACCAGCCTCTTCATATCATTTATAATATATTCCTAGGTCTGAAATTAATATACATTTCTCTCACCTAGTTCCTCTGAATGATCTAAGTGACAGATATTGTTTTGTTGTACTGGCTCAATACGAGTAGGGGGAGGTTGAAATTTTCGAACAGAACTAAGGAGTTAAATTTTTCAAAGAGGGAAGAATTCCATAATCATACAAATGTCTACAGATAGTGAAGAGATGATATAAGAATTGTATTGTTTCTGGATCTGTTGTATAGAGTTAATGTTGGACCCATCTATTCAAGATAAATAAGATTGTGAGAGCCTCTTGAATTAGTACTGTGATCACTGGATGTGTGCGTATGTTTATTATAAATGCATATAGAATGCTGTATTTGCATATGGATACAAGAATTTCTTTCTGTTTAGCATGACATATTGTAGCAGGATGGTTTGATATGTTACTCAGGCAATGGTTGGTTTTCGACTGGATGGGAAGATCAAGCTACCTCACACTGAATTCGACAACGAACAGGTGCGTTATGAACATCGATTTGCTCCATTTGCAAGTTTAATGACACCTCCACCAATGCAGTATGCTGAGTTTCGAGATATGACATCACTCCTTCGTTATGAACAGCCACCCAGCAGTACCAACTTGTACCTAGCAGGCTGCCAGCATTTTCATAAAGCTCGTTCCATGCTGGAGACCATCAACACTCCAGATCAAGAAGTGAGTATACATATTATGTTCAGTTCAGTTCAGTATTGAGGGGGTGGGTTTCCCCATGCACTTAGACCAGTTAATACATATTATGTTAGTTTGTCACCTACATATGATTCAGTAGAAACTTTTTCACTCTAGGAATGAGAAAAGATAGGATGTTAAGTTTTGAGGGCACTGTTTGCTTCTTCAGCACCTTGGTAAGTTTTCCTCTTTTCTTTAGTACGTGATCCATTTTCCTGTTCATGAGTCTAGATAACTAAAATCTGATGATGTTTCTCTACTAATACAGTCCATGTAGTTCAGTTTTTTGGGGAGCCAGAATTTTTGTGTTTTAAAACTGAATACAATGCTGACACAACATGAAATAACCCAGATGGAAATACACGTGATAGTCATCATAAGTTCCTTAACTTCTACAACAGCCATCAAATGACATTGTAATTTTGTTAATTTTGATGACTTTTGTTGCTCTGTGAACTCAGCATGCCAGGATGATGTGATCTGAAGAGTAAGCGATTGTATATTTTGTGTAAAACTGAAGAAGTAATTCTCACAAATTTACTCAACAGTGTGATTGGGAAAGTCTGTGGCCATGAGTCAGGATGCAGTTTACAAATGGTCTAGGTGTTTTATGAAATGCAACAATCGCCGAAGGACAATCCACAGAAGGGCTCACTGGTGACTTTCAGTGAGCAGACCATTGTCTGTATTTGTAAAGTCATCTGAAAGGACTGTAGACAAATGATGACAAAATTTCTGAAATCATCATTGTCACATGGTATGTGCTATGCCATTCTGTTTGAAGACATTAACACTGGTATGTGTGTGAACTCATTCCACAAAATATTACGGAGAATCAGTGTGAGAAAAATCTCTTAAGTGAACATAAGATTGACAAAGTCAGTATTGAAGCCTCATACTGGAAGCCACACTGATGACCCTATAAGCAGATATTTTGAGCATACTCTGAGAAAGTAATGTGATGCTAGAGATGTTTTCCAGTAGCCATGGTGTTACCACTAGTTTATTCCACAAAAGTGTAACATCAAGAAGCGGTGCAGAGAGATATTCTTTAGTGGTTTCTCCAATATTCCAATGTACCAGTTGACAGTCTTTTTGATGCAGCAGTATGTGACTAAGAATGGTACCTCTGCCTCCATAACCTCTCTGCTCTCCAAATTTTTCATCTGAAATTGAGTCCTAGTCCAAAGAACACAAGTGCTCTTGAAGGGATCCTAGTTCGAGTCAGCAAGGAAAGTGAAAAAATATGTAATATTGGCCTTTAAGGAGGTGGCAGCAAGAGGCCTGCAGAGGTGCTTCCACAGTATTATGGTCACTGGCAGGAATGTGTCACAGTGGAAGGAATTACTTCAAAGGTGGTGTGCAATTAAAGCCATCATGATGCAAATAAAGCTCACATATATGATGAATTCACTCAGCCACAGGCATTCTAGGATGGGTACCATACAGTGACTCCTTCAGGGACCAGAAGGTTTCTGCCTCTGGAGACCACTGAAAATTCCACTTCTGTGAGTTGGGTCAGTGGCTTGGCAGTGTCAACATATCCAGCTGTGAACGTCTGATAGTAGATACACACACCAAGGAAGCTCCTCAACTCGTGTCTATCTTTTGGTGGTGGCCACTTCTGTACAGCCTTCAGCTTCTCTGGATCCATAATCATTTTTACTGGCAATATGGTATGTTTCAAGTAACATACCTACTTCTGGAATAGTTTGCACTTCTGTGGGCTGGAGTGTTGCAGAGGCCAGAAGTCAGTGGGGTGAAGAGCAACCTGTCAGTAACCACTCCTCATATCCAAGGTTGAAACCCTTGGCCCTGATGAGCATATCAAGCAAGGATGTCAGCATTCCTTCTTGGTAATGCCATTCACCCATCAGTAGTTCACACAGCACTGAAGATATGGTTCTTCTTCCTGACTAGCACAATGGGTGAATACCGAGGACTGTCTGGCTTCTACTACGCCTTGTCCTGTCATATCTTTCGGCATCTCACATACTTCAGCACATTTGGCTGACATGACTCTATGAGGGGACTGATGGATTGGAGGGGTGTTGCTGGTGTTCATGTGATGGTACATTCTGTTGGTCTACCCAAATCCATCACTCTTTGTTGTCCTGATATGCTGGAATTCCAGCTCCTGGGCCTTTCCAGTATAGATGTTGGCCTGGCAGGAGACACCACTTCTTGCAGTTGCTAACAGAGTTATCAAGTTTCCAGGGTTTGAGGTTCCAAACTGTCAACTGGCACTGCCCAAGTGTGTGGTTTGTGGTGGCCCTGGGTGGTGCCTTCAGCCAGTACCTGGTCTCAGTTGCTCAAATTCATGATTTTGACAGGCATGTCCCACTACGCCTGAACCAGTGTCCTGACTATGTACAGTCCTTCTTGATGAGAAATCTTCACATGGGTTCCATTAGGTTGTTCACTGTCTCCAAGAAACCATTCAGCCTTTCACTTACCACCTTCTCATAATGAGCTGGTACAAGAGGTTCATGCATCCTCTCTCCACCCCACTCTTTGCTCAGTTCTTGTAACAGTATTTTATTTTATTAAAGATTAGAGCCAGACATGCTGTAAGGCAACCAGCAGACGTGGTTCTCCAAAGAGCCTACTTGGTGACAGGATTCAAAGAGACTGAGAAAAATCCATTGTTACCTTTGTCCAAAAATAGCCTCTTCAATGTAAATGGCATGCAGCAGAACCAGCCAGTTCTGCAGATGGTAGTCCCTGTCATTCCAGTTTGTCGCATTGTTAATGCGTTAGTGGTGGCTGCTAACCAGTGTAGTTTATTGCACGAGTACCACTGTTATAGTCTCAATTTGGGAGTGGGCATTATCACCAAGATGCAAATATTCTGCCATGTGGGGACAGTTGATCTTTATACCTGAAGATATTTTGTGGAGTACTGTAATAAAACCATGATCTTTAATTGGTTACAGAAAATATATAGATTATTTTGTTGCAGGTAAGTGACCTTCTAAAAGTCGCCAAAACTAACTTTGTGGTTCTCAAGCTTCTTGCTGGAGGTCATAAGAAGGACTCAACGAATCCACCAGACTTCGATTTTACTGGACATCACCATTTTCCAATTATCAGACTCTTGTGAAGATAAATGCACAGTTTCACACACTAACACAACGTGTGACAAGTTAATAATTTATTCTATGTATTACATTTGGTGAGTTCTTCAGTGGGCCACTAATTCTTAAGATGAATACTGTATAACACATTGAAACGATATTCAGATTGTTGCTGGAATCATGCGAGAAGCCATACTTAGCAGAAAGTGTTTGGTAATTTTAATGGGAGTACCTGGTAGTTAGATGTAGATTGAATTACAGAGAAATGAATAAGCACTTAACGCTGATAAGACGGAGTATACAATATTTGAGCAACTGTGAAATTTCTCAGTGTGAAATCATACCCTGGTAATCACTCATTTCTTTCCATTTTGCATATTTGTCTGTGGGAGGTTTTAAGGCAACTACTCATAGTTCTCATTTAAAAATATACTGAACAGTTCTTCTTAAACTGAGAGTATGTCATTTATGCCTCCCCAATCACCATCTTCTCATTCTTTCAGACAAAGATTGGTTTATCTGAAGTTATGGTTTTCATAGTTCTTTATTCATTATATTGTCACGTGATGAGTGAATGCAGATGGGGGTTGGATTGTTAATTGGATTAACCACTTAAGAGACTGTAACTACAAGTATCTATAGCACTATCACTAATTCACATACTGCAGTTCACTACAGCACATACTAAGACTTCTCAGTTTGCTGTGTTTTCACCAGTTGTCTGGTAACAGCTTCCAATGGCAGATGTTCCTCTTCCTCTGGGTTCAGAAATGTCCACATGCCTCAGCTACCGGCCTCACCACAGCAGTCCTCTCACTCACTCACCAACCAAACTTCTCCACTGCACTGCACTGCACTAACTAACTGCCTGTCAAGGTCAAAGTTACTTTACTACTGGCAGTCTACTGCCAATCAGTTCGTCTTGGCATCAGGCCCCTTAAGGCCCAAGACCAGAGAATTTTTTCCAACTGAACTCTTGCGGTAATAGTGCTTATGTAACATCCTCTCTGATGAGAAGATTGGTTTAACTACTGGATCTTGGTTGGTTGAATGATACGGCCTTGGAGCGGACCATAGAAAACACCACTTCCATTATGATGTGCAAGCCGTGCCTAACAGCTCCAGTGCTGTTGTGAATTTATGAAGATGTTGCTTAGCAATGGCTGTTGTCTCACTATTTGTTTTACAGTTGTTGCCTAGTAACTGGTCTATATGCCACAATACTTTAATCTGAATTAAAACAGAGAATCTAAAACATAAAAAGGCCATGAATTATAATATTTCAAAGTATGACTGCTATGAGATTACTGTAGTAAACAGCCAATTATCAGAAGTTATGCAAAATCAACTGGGAAGTGTTCGGTTTGATTTCTGGCTATTTTTGCTATGCTGCACATAAATAATGCAGCTGTTTTTCTAGGACATGCTACATCTTCTCTTCACACCCAGGCTTCCAAGTCAACTCCACTCTCAGTCAAAGTTACTTTACAACTGGTGGTTTACCACCAATCAGTTTGTTCTGGCATCAAGACCCTTGAGACTCACGACCGGAGATTTTTCTTCCAACCAAACCTTTGCAGTCATAGTCCTTATGTAAAATCCTCTCTCACGAGAAGATTGGTTTGTATCTTATGATTATGCTTGCCCTATCATCAACTGTTTGTATTGCACATACAGCATGTTATTGAATATTCTTTCAACTTATACAACTTATTTATTTGACCGTCACAACACAAAAATAAAAGAACTTCAAGGAAAATGCCCAGATATAGTTCTGCTACATGTTTCGGACACTAGTGGCCATCATCAGGCAAACACACTTCAACAAACGTACACCACTGAACTGCAGTACACCAAATTTGATACAGTGTCATAAATCATTTAAGAATATTTGTAATAAGAATAAAATAAGTTGGTTATTTAAAACTAATAAAAGTCATATATAAAAAACAAAATTAAAATTTGATTGATGTTTCTTAACATCGAATCAGTCGTTGGTTCCACTTTACATACGTATCCGTCGACAAATAGTAAATTTCAATGTTTCATTATAAAATTGTATAGGAGGCCCAATAATTAATGGAATAGTTGGAGCCTCATCATACGGAGAATTGTACGTGATGTATGGGAGGTGGCTGGGACAGAGTGCATTACACGTATGAGTGTTTGTCACATACTTCACAGACAAGTTCATCCTAGAGCTGGATATCCTATGGCTTATGAAATGGAGGTGAATTTGTAGTGCCACATCCTATGACTGGGCCAAGAAGAGGTGTCGTTATGGCGTCCTGGAACATGACCATAATCGTATCTTCTTATGCTGGCCACCAGTGAGGAAATCAGCCTAGAGGAACAAAGTTTTATGACCTTACACAGCCAGGATGTTAGTTCAAGCTTGACACAAGGTCTCAGGATGACTGAACATTTCCAAGGGCAGAAAAACACCAATGCAGATATGATCCCTGAAGACTCTGGCCAGAGGCATGCATTCACTGCCAGAAAGTTGAATGACAGCCAAGTAGCCTGAAGGTACGAGTTATCACTGGGATATCTGATACCATGCTGCTCTAAGGGAGCAGCTGACTGATGAGACAATTCCACTGAAAGTGGAGGCTGGACAGCATCTTGTGTGGAAGGATGCTGCTGACCACAGTTCCATCTACAAAAGTTACTGGGCTCAGTGGAACTCTAATAGTGGCATAGGATATGCTAAGGCACTACTAGGGGTCAGCTAACAGTTGAAGACAGTTCAAACAGTTCTTTTCAGTTCAAAGGTAAAGAAAGTACTGATAAAGCTCCATGGAGGATTTCTGAGAGAACATATAAATGTCAATTAGACCCTATACAATGTTACACAGTGGTACTGCTGGCTACTTGTGAGAAGCAAAGAGGTGGTGCCAACTGTGTAACACTTGTGCTGCATGCTGAGGTCCCCAAACCCACAGCTGAAGGCTATGAACCAATATATTGTTAGGGCACCATTCCAGGGGACTGAAACAGATATTGTAAGGCCCTTCCCAGACAGCTAGAAGTGGAACTGATACCGGTGGATTTCCATGGACTTCACCAAGTGGCCAGAGGCTTATGCCATCTCTAACCAAGAGGCATCAACAGCGGCGGATACTCTGGTGACCAATTTCTTCTGCCAAATCTGGATCTCAAAGGAGTTGTACAGTGCCAAACAACAGGACTTAAAGTCACAACTACTGTGGGAGGTATTATGGCGCCCTGGTATCCAGAAAACTGTTTTCTAGCTGAAAGTATGGTTCTTCTTCTTCTTCATCTTCATCATCATCTTCTTCTATGGAAATACAGCATAAAGTCATCCATTCTCTGTCACTCTGTTTTTGGGTCGAAATGGTGGAACCACTTTTCATCACTAGTCATGTTCAGCAGAAAGCCATCAACCTCAACAGGATGTCCAAGCAGATGTGATGACAAATCTATGTGTACCCTTTTGTGCTCCTCCGGAGAACTCAAGGGTAACAAACTTTCTGGTATCCCAGTATTTATCATCTCCTGCACAGCATTGTGTTCAATGTCGAGCTGCACGACAATTCCCCTAACCATCACCCCTTGGTCTTTTGTGATGGGCATATAAACTCCCTGCTTGTAGCATTCCATCATGGTAATTGGTTGACCACTTCAAGGCAGACAGACAGTGTCTCTGTCGTCATTTTTCAAGTGTTTCACCCATGTCACACTGCTGGCACCCATGCAAGAATCTCCAGATATGATGTTGATCAAAGATGTTCGCAGCATAAAAGAAAATAAAGTAAAGGTATCCCTGTAACAGGCTGTGGAGGCCCATAGGGTTGTGAGATGTTGAGGGTCCAACATTTTCTAGACAATCTGCTCATAGATGGCGGTAAGATTGTCAGCCCTAAGTGCCGGCTGCCCTTTACCCCCAAGAATATTCCTGGTACTCATTTCTGTTAGAGGCTGAGTTGACCCCAGGGCCATAGTGCGGCTGCAGGGATTAGGTAAACTGAAAAATTCCACCTCGTTGGGATTCGATCCCGCGACCTTCCGTAGACTTTTCTTGCAGTGGATTATGACTAAGTATTCATGTGCATGCAGATTGCAGGATACAGATATGGCTACTGGCTACATAACCCTTAGTTTAACGTCAGTAAAACATATATAAAATGATGCTGCTTATTACTTTTGGTATGGCCATCATATTCCCAGAAACTGAAGCTAGACCTCCCTGCCACAACTCAACAAACTGATTTTCCATGACAAACATATCACCACAGTACAAATATGTTTTTGGACTAGCTCTATCAATTAAGCCCATCTGAGTAGGTTTTACCTGAAGAGGGAGAGAGAATCCAGTCTCCAAAATGTTGTGTTTTGAAAAATACACAGGACGGTTTTTAGATGAATCCAAGGCAATGAATAATGTCCAAAAAACATAATATTCATACTAATGTACCACTGTCACAAACTTTTAGATCTTATTGACATAACCAGTATGGATCTGGCATATATCCCAATTTTAAAAGATCTGAATGACTGAAGATGCCACTGGCTAAGACTTTCGACCATCTCACATTTCTCATGATATTGCTAATACTGATACCTCATATTGAAAGCTCCATATCACAGTCATTGCTCTTCTAAGATAACTTCACAAGCCAGCAAAAAAAAAAAAAAAGAGAGAGAGAGAGGAGAAGAAGAAGAAGAAGAAGAAGAAGAAGAAGGTCCAGAGACAGTGACTAACTCTATTGATTGGGCCCAAATGAGTAGGTTTTACCTGAAGACTGACAGAATCTGGTCTCCAAAATGCTGTGTTTTGAAAAATAAACAATGGTTTTTAGATAAAGACAAGATGTTGGATAATGTCCAAAAACCTAAAATTTGTAGTAATGTATCATTGTCTTAATCACCACAGATGTGTAATTTCAAGTGCAATAAATAAAACTCTATAGGTGTGCATCATTTTGTGTGCCACACAAAAGCAATTACTTATAGGTCTCTTTATGTGGAAGTTCTATGCATACAAGTTAACGCACACAATGGTATAGTACAAACTTTCCTGCAAGAAGGCAGCACTATTTAAAGGCGATATTAACAGAGTCCACATTACTTGAACTCCCTCCGGTTATTTTGAAAGTGAAAAGTTATGCTTTCTAAATATGAACTGCCATGCAAGATGAAAAATTCAGAAGATATAGGGCCTCATCCAAAAGAGTCGAAAATGAAATTGTGAAAAGTGCAAGTCAGTCCTTAAGAAACTGGAAGTTAATCCCCATTATCCCCATTCAAGTACGGCCCCTAAGAACGTACACATGTGTACCACTTTACCTTTATCTGTTAGAACCTCTCACACTCAATTTCTGGAATCTCCAACAGTTACTTTGCTACGGTGCCTGAGGATTTCACGTCGGTGAAGATTTAGGCTGTAGTCTTCGACTTATGAGGCGCAAGTATGTTGTAGATGGTCACAATGTTTCGGATGAACCTACTACCTCCATCTTCAATCTTCTTGAACAGAGTAGGGGAATCATATTCGATTGACTGTAAATATCCAACGGAATTACACTCACAACACCATAATATCTAACACGAACGTCTTATCCGTAACAATACAATTTGAAAGTGTGGAACGAAATTATTCCTTCCGCAGTGTTTGACACATTCAGCTTTCATCAGCCGCTAACATTCATAAATCATACGGTACGCTCCCGTATTTCGCGTAGGACCATGTCGATAATGTCGATTTGTCTACAGTGTGGGCATTCTACCAAGATGATTAGTTGGTACATTATTAATCTGTGGTATATAAGAAATCATCGTGGCCATTATCACGGTCTAAATTCCCATTATGTCAACTAAGTTGGTATTCCATGAACTTCAGAACGCTCCAGCAGAGTTCTGTATGTTTGTGCTGTGTAATAAAATTGGCACAAGATACCATATATTAGGATACGAGAAAATGTCCTTGCCTGTTTCGAACAAAGAATTCTACATGCCTTGAATCACGCATATAGGGCGCATTACCAATTGTTATATCTATCGCAATTGCACCTTAGTTGAAAGAATACAAGTTTCTGGAATGTGACTCTTCATACTTGTACTTTCTTTGTTGCACCCCTTTGGATGACGACACTACGGTTCTCCGAAACGTCGGCAAACTTCTACAGACTGCACGGCGTCACATCCCAGGTGATCATACTCCACCTACGTAATCACCTCCCCAGTTATCGCAATTCTAATGCATGTTGGTCTGTTCGATGTATCGTCGAGATTATCGTCATTGTATTATATTTATTATGTTGTCGTCCTGGAAGCAGAAAAACAGTAAGAAGTTCAGGAGAGTAGTTTGCAACTCTGAGATATTTTGTGGTTAGGTAATGGTTAAAAAATAAAGCAACAGATTTCTGTTTATACACCATTGTTCAATGTTGAAATATTGGCGTGATAATTATAAGGATCAATTTTGCGCATCGCAGTTGAAGAACATCGCTTTAGTAATTCATAACTTAGCAACCATGTCTTGGATATGACAGCCAGTAATCGCAATATATAACCCGAAGCACCAAATCTTATTTACAGCTCATCATGGAAGGTGATGGTGAATGTTTAGAGGATTCACAATTACAGAGTAATCTGGATGATGATGTTGTCCAAGAAGTTCTGAAGACAGGGACAGATTTAAGACAGTATTCTCGTCAGATAGAGAAGGAATTAAAGGAAGTTGAAAAAAGATCTATCAAAGATTACATTAAGGAAAGCCAGAACATTGCTAGCCTCCACAACCAAATAGCCGCTTGTGACAGTATATTAGAGGTATGCGCAGATATATCGTAATATGGATGTGAATGGAAATGGAACACAATATAAATATGGTATTGTTCAGATGGCTGGGTAACACTTTGCAGGTCAATGGTTGAATACCCATGTAATTCGGTATTCTATTCCAGATACAAAGTTGTAACTTATCTAATGCAGCTGGTCACCATTCTGTAGTCGTGCCAAAATATGTAACCTCTGAAACCTTGAAGAGTTACAAAAGTGGCATTTCTGTTATGGTTACATTTCATATTTTTGTGTTTTGCCAACATATGGAAGAATCCCAGTTCTATAAAAGAAATTTGACTGATTTACAAGGTTTGGAACTGTAATAGTGGCAACTATTTATATACAACTGATACAAAACAAATGCATGTTTCAAAGTTTTACTGTCCTTCAGTGTAGTCACCAGCATTTTGTACAACCTGTTTCCAGCAATGTGGAAGTCATAGCATACCTTTAGCAGCTCCTGTTGTGTTGATAGTTCGAATGGAGCGGTCTACTGCCTGAAGAATCTCTGGAACAGTTAAGAAGTGAATGCCACAAAGTGGTTCCTTCATCTTAGAAATCAAGTCGAAGTCACAAGGGCTTAAGTCCGGGGAGTATGGTGGATGGTACAGCACTTCACAGCCCCATCAATCGAACAAATCAGCCACAGCTTGCACTGCATGCGGCCAAGCATTATCCTCCAAAATAATGGGTGGGTTCTGCAGAAAGTGTCGCTGCTTCTTTCTCAAAGCTGGTCGCAGGTTGTGTTCCAAAAATGAACAGTAATACTGTGCATTGATGGTCTGCTGTTGGGGAACAGTATGTGTTAGGGTAACACCATCACAGTCCTACATGAGAATCACCATGACTTTCACATTGCTGAGGTTCTGACGAACTTTTGATTTTTGTGGTAACCTGAAATGACACCATTCGTTCGATTGGTGTTTCATTTATGGCTCGTACGATTTGGCCCATGTCTCATCCAGCATAAGAAAGCCTCTCCTTCGTGCTCATAGCACTCCAAGTGGTTATGAGCAGCGTCGTATCGTAGATATTTCTGCATTTCCATCATATCATGTGGAACCCATCGTGATGCAGTTTTTCTCATGCCCAGGCGTTCCTTCAGAATGTGAAGCACAGTCGTACGCACTTATCCTGTCTCTCGGGCCAGCTCACGAATCGCATGACGTTGATCACTCTCCAGTAATGCAGAAAGAGCATACACATCTTCTTCGCTGACACTAGGACGACCTGGCCAACACATGTCTGCCACATTTTGGCGTCCCTCGTTGAAGACTTTTACCCACCTTGCCAGTGTTCTGTAAGGCAATGCAGATTCCCCACAAGCCTCATGAAGACCTTGATGACACTGTTGCACTGTACGTCCTCTGGCACATTCACTCTTTATCCAACTCTGTTGTTCCTGTTTCGAAAACGTGACAGCACTACATTAGACCGCCAGCTAACACGAGGATCTGTTCTTCTCGTCATTGTGCACGCACGTGATGTGGGAAGGGAGAATCCATTTGCTCTGAGGTAAGGTAGGAATGTAAGTGACATGTGGTATAAGCGACATTATTTGGTTCCGTTGCATGATGTCTCTACAGCAGTGTTGCCACTATTAACGTTCCAACCCTCGTATGTGTGTAAATAATTATAGTAGCATTTGTTTTAGTGAAAATGTCACATAAATTGAAATGAGGGCATGAGTGGCAGAATTGCATGGCATTTTAAGTTTAAGAAGTCTTGAAGACCACAAAATCCATGCTGAATCTACATAGATATAAGCAGATATAGGTTTCAAACTTGAAGCAGTACTGCCCAATCTTTAATGCTGTGAGGTTCACTGTGCTGTTGTTACAGAGAATGGAGTCAATGTTGTTGAGCTTCCAGTCAGATTTAGGCAGCATCAGCAGTGAGATATTGTACCTACAAAGGAAATCTGTATCAATGAATCAGCAGCTGCATAACCGTCAGGCAGTTCGTGGTCAACTTAGCCAGTTCATTGATGATATGGCAGTATCTGAGACTCTGACTTTGTATGTAAGAATAGACTAGAATATAATTGTGTAAAAAGTAAAATACGTATAATCATTAATCTATTGACATTTTCTCCAAACACAGTCAAGAAGACTGTAATATGAATCCTGACCATCTGACTAGTTCTCCTTTATGTCCATTCTTTCCATATTCTCTTTCATATATTGTTTCTTTGTCTCCTCAATGCTTATTTATTCGGTATTTTCATTCTTATACTTTCAAAGGAATTCTTTTGTCATCTGTATATCATTCTTATCCAAACCACAGAATCCTTAATTTTACCAGCTACTGTAGTTGTGATGAGGTCATTGAATTTTTTTAATTTACCTAATCCTTCCAGCCGCACTATGGCCCTGGATCGACTCAGCCTCTAACAAAAATGAGTACCAGGAATATTCTTGGGGGTAAAGGGCGGCCGGCGCGTAAGGCTGACAACCTCACCGCCATCTATGAGCCGATTGTCTAGAAAATGTGGGAACCTCAACATTTTGCAACCCTATGGGCCGCCACGGCGTGTTACAAGGATACCTTTACTTTATTACTTTTACTGTAGTCTTTCTGCTTTGAAATTTTATCTCTTTCTGTTCATTTCTTAATATTTCATGTCCATGTCAAAATGGACAATTTATATAATTTTATCATTTTTTAATATTCCCTAATTCAAAATATCTCTTTGACAGTCACGGTCAGCAATTTGCTCTTGGATATTCATTCATTGAGATTTTAATGCCCAAAACAAAAGAAACTCCGTGGTTTTAGTCTGCAAGCTACATATACCGACCAAGTGACCGCCGCTTGTCGGCCCCACGGCCATTAAAATCAGTTTTCTAGACTGGAGCCACTATTTACTTGAAACAGCTCATCAATTATCCTCACAAAGCTGAGTGGACCCAATTACAGACCCACTTCTCAGAAAATCTGGTAGTGCCAGGAATCAAACGTGGACCCGTGGATCTGTAGCCAGGAACTATAACCACTAAGACCACAGAGGTGATCTATGATTTTAATGCCCACATAAGAAAAATCTCATCAGCAAAGATCATAAATTACAAGACAGAATTTTGTTCTCTATCGTTGTGCATGAAAATGATCTGATCTGCTATATTCTGTGCTGCATCTATCATACACCTAGCTGCAGGAGCATTCAGTTATTTCTATTAGTTTTGAAGACAAGGAGAAAAACTGATTCTTCGCCTAGGATATGGTTGCTTTCCTTGTCAGTATTGTGGCATGCAGATCTGTTGCTAGGTAATGGCTCTGTAAACATGCCCATTGCTAGGCAACAGATTTATAACAAGCATCAATGGAGTAACTTTGAAGTGGTGTTCTCTACATGGTCTATGTGATAGGTGCATGATGTAAGAATAGAATTGTTGAGAGATGTGTTTTCTGTGTGGTTCATGCCGAGAAGCAGCTGCGATTATGAGAGGGTCTTGAAATGGCAGTGAGAAGAGTGGGAAGTTGGTGTGAGATGGCTGCTGGCCTGGAAGGCTACCATATATGCTGGCATTGGGTGCTCTCTGTTAGATCTGCAGTGGGAATAGAACCCTTTATTTTTTATATGCATCAGATAACAGTGATACAGGCAAAGGTGTCATGAAGGCTTTCAGTGATTAAATTTATTGCAATTTTTATGTAGTATGCAGGTAGGATATTCTGGAATGATCCAAGACATCTAGTTGCATGTTTTTCTGAAAGTTGGAGGCTCTTTCTTCATAATGCTGAAATTCCATGCCCCACACTTCGCTGTTACTGATGAAAGGCATTTGTTGTAACTGACAGACATATGACAACATTTGAAATTGATGACCAGATTGTAGTATCAGAGTGTTCTGTTTAAGTAATAATTAATAGGAATATCTTCAATATGATAAGCAGCGGCACGCACACAGGGAGCCTGCACAGAATAATACATGAACGGTGCTGAAAGCAAGAAGTAGTCGCTGCTGCACATGTAGACATAGAGCAGGTATCCCTGTGATTTAAATTTTAAATTAAAATTCTAAATCAAATTGACGAGTGTATATTAACAGAGATTTTAAACATAACTGACAAAATCAGCAAGGAGATTCTGGTATATTGGGGCCGATTGAAACACAGCAATGACAATTGAGAGCACTGGTGTTTTTAAATTTTAAATTACGTGTAGTGTGACAGCTATGTAAGTGAAAATACACCTGATTATGGCCAGTTATGGCTGAAGCATGTAGTGTAAAAGAAGAAAGACAAAGAACTACAAATAAATTGTTGCCTTTACGACAGTATTTATATTATACATATAGAAGTGTAGAGTGCAACAGGATGCTTAAATATAATATAGTATGCTCCTTATATCATCAAAGTATTTTATCACATTTTATTTCTTATGTGATTCATGATAGCCAGTTCTCATGACTACACTTTTATCTGATATAATTTTTTAATTCATTTTCCCTTTTAAGCTTTTGTATCATGTATAAAACCATAATTTTTCTAGTTGTTTTGTATAATATGGTCTCCTTCAGGGAATGACATAAATGACAGTTATTCAAATAGCAAGTTCTTACATGTTGAACATTGGAGTTCTGCTGTTAGATAAGTAAATTACATCTTGAGGTTGAATACCTGGCAGGGCCAACCTCTTTTTCAAGCTATTCTATGTCTGTAAGGTAACATTGGAACAGTAAAGAACTTTGAACCCTAGAAGGATCTTGTCTTCCCCCTGTGTCTGCAATGAATGTTTGTGACACACTGTTCCATCATTCAAAACTCCTGTATATTATTTGAAGCTTTTGTGTCGACTGTATGCAATGGAGTCTTTTTGAGAAAATGGAGTTAGTAGTTAATATTTCGAGACTGTCTCTGCCCCATTGTCAGAGTAATGTGATGAGTGACCCATCTATCCACTGTGTACACACAGTACTTGTCAGGGCCTGGTGTCCTATTAGAGTACAGACTGCCTGTGGAGCAATGATAGCCAGCATCTCAGATTGCCCAGGTTTAGGAACATAATCTAGGTGTTATGATTTAGTACCAGACTGTCTGCCAACTACTGCCCATGAATGGCACATTCAGACAGGACACCCTGTCTGAATGTGGACTGATTGACACAGCTGTGTCAATCAGCAAATCAACTCTGACAATGAAGGCAGAGACAGTATCTGAAACACTAGATATTAACTCCATACTTGCATGGGTATCCCCTGACAATACATCACTGTATTTAAAACTTCTGTTTTTTGTGTAAACGTGTTAGTAGTAACTTGTTTTTGTTTAACTTCTAGAAGGGTTTTATGTTGGGTAGAATTTTAAGAAATGTTTTTACTATCATGCTACTGTATATTCAGATATTCATTTATTGTTTTCCCCATGTTCACAGTTGTATCTTGGATGCCTCAGTCACGGACAAAGAGTTCTTAACTCAGTTGGAGATACTTAACTATAAAATAAACTTTGTGAAAGAGCAGAGATTTAAAGGTAACACCATGTTCTATGTTTTCTAATTAGCTTTCAGTGATTAAGGCAGTGCCATAACAAGTTGCAGCAGTGTAGCCAAGGACAAAGAATTGCCTTTGAGCATTACATGACTACTTTGCTTGGAGGGTTATAAAAGTCATATCTCACAACTATTTCAGAAATTAATATGTCACTAGAACAATATTATAAATAGCTTTGTAGTAAATGTGTTACACATTTTCAGCCCAAACAAGTTTGCTGTCTTACTTTGCAGCACAGCCATTTTTAGTAACATACTAGTGGGTTATGATATTTCACAGTAAAGAAATGAATGTTGAATGATGTAAAGATGTCCAAAGAACCTTAAAAGGTAGCTGCATGCACCATCTTGTGACAGAAGAAAAAACTATGTGCTAAGAGTGAAATTTTAAATATCTGTCCTGTCTTAGTGTGTCAAGATTGTGATTTAGGTGAGATATGGTAATCTGGACAAGGCATTAGTAATCTTCCAAGCTCAGATACAGTAGCAGCATTAAGCTGGGTTTCTAGTGTCCTCTGGTTCTTTTCCATGAGTACTGTGTGACTGCCTCTGTGGTCTAGTGGTCAAGAGTTCCTGGCTACAGATCCAGACTGCTATATTTGAAACTTAATTTTTCAGAAAGGTAAAGTTATCCCTGTAACAGACCATGAAGGCCCATAGGGTTGTGAGATGTTGAGGTTCCCACATTTTCTCTAGACAATCAGCTGACAGATGGTGGCAAGGCTCAGCCTTCCATGCCAGCTGCCCCTCCCCAGGAAGAAGATTCCTGGTACTCCTTTCTGTTAGAGGCTGAGTTGACCCCAGGGCCATAATGCAGCCGAAAGGATTAGGTAAACTGGAAAAGTCCATGTCATTGGGATTTCAGAAGGTAACTAGAATCATAATTTTTAAACAAACTGAGTATTTAAATGCATTGGATAAATGAATATACACAGGTTAATATGTCGGGAATGTTTCTGTAATTCATCACCACATAATAAAGAGACAGTGCAGCAGTGAGGAAGTTGCTAGAGTGGTGATGCTTGTAACTTTTATTCAGGGACTGTGTGGTTTGAATCTTGAGCAAATTATCATCTGTCATTAATGAGGACCTTCATGGTTTTCTCAGGTGTTGCAGGTGAATGCTCATTATCAACTTTCCATCTTGATAATATACGATGGGGTACCCAAAAGAAACTGAACTAATTTTTTTTGTGGGCAGAGCTTTTGTAGTACCGCGTTTTGCCGCTTTGAGCGCATAGAGCTAACATTCCTGAGTCGATAAGCCGACTACCGTTGCTTCAGAAGGTAAGGACTAGTTTCGGCAGAGTTTATAGTTGACAACTGTTTTGTGTGATCGTCGTTTTTGCAATGGCCC